GCCTTAAGCTGTAGTTTTGTTGGCCTTTTGGGACAAGGAAGGTAATCAAAACTGAAAGCTTGTCCAAAGTGGAGAGTATCAGTACTGTGTCTGCTTAGTGTCTTCTCCATCCTTTTTATAAACCCATCCAAGGTTATACTTTGAATATAACAGTGAACTGGACATGATTTACCTTTCCTGGGATTATTAGTCCTCATTGTGTTGCTGTTTTTCCAAGAAACCCCAAGTCTATTAAAGCTTGGATTAAGTCAGTTCTAGATGAGTAGTACCTGAAGGTGTTTGGCAAACATTGACAGAAATCCTCCTTGAGAAAGGTTATCTTCATCTTAGGCTTCAGTTGCTTCCCACAAATAATTTTTCAAAAATACTGAGTCCAGCTGGACAGTGAAAGGTCCACTAGCTGTCAATAAAGAGTGAGGTAGGAGGTTTAAATCTTGTAGCAGTCTGTAATGATAATAAGGTCATGCTGTCTGTCTGGCCACCCCGTCCCTGGTGTTCTGAATCTAGAGTCCACCAGCTTCTTAAGTAGGAGAAGTTGGGTATCAAGTAACATGTAATAATAATACTCTTGTTTTCACCTGAAGCCAGCCTTTCTTTAATACTCTGCAACTTCTGAACCTTTCCTAGATCCGGAGTTATTCTTTAAGCTTGACTTCTACATTGCATTTCTCTACAGTACCTTGCCCATCAGATTTCTCACTTGCACTTAATCTTTGCTCCCAGTTTCCATCGTCTGGAAATTTGTTGACACCTCTCAGTTGGTTTTGTTTCCTCTGCTCTTGCCTTTGTTATTGTAGGTTTATGTCTTACTGTTCTTTTTAACTTGAGTGGTTTTATGAAAGACACTGGATTTTACACACACATATAGTATTCTCTATCTTTGACCAGTATTTTGCATGGTTTATATACTTGTTTGAGCAGTTATATAAGGTTTCTGGGTGTTTCTCTGGAACTTTGAATTGTACCTTTTTTTTAAAGAGTTTTTATTTCAGTAGATACTTGCTTATTTATTTTTTAAAGACTTATTTATTTACTTATGCATACAGAAATGGGGTACAAGAGGTGCAGGGGCGGTGAGAGGATTGAACAGGCAGACTGAAGAAGTACATTGCTGAGGGTAGCAGCAGGCAGGTCAGGAGAGGTCTACCATGCCATGTGGACCACCTCCAGGCTGAGGATTGAATTCGCACTGCAGTGGCTGCTGCTAGCTTGCAGTGCTGCACCCTTACCCATTGTGCTACTGGGGAGGGCCTGAACATTTAACTTTTTTTTTTTTTAAAGATTTATTTATTCACACACAACTGGGGTACAGGCCAGAGATGCAGAGGGTGAGTGGGTTCACCAGGGACAGAGAGGGGTGCAGAACAGGCAGATGGATGAAGTACACTACTGAGGGGAGCAGCGGGCGGGTCAGGAGAGGTCTGCCGCGCCATGTGGTCAATGCTGGGGCAGGCAGGAATCGAACTCATGCGGAAGTGGCTTTAGCTTCTCAGTGCTGTGCTTTAACCCACTGCACCACCAGGGAGTGCTCACATTTAACTTCTTTAAATGGTGTTGCTGAATAGCCCTCTGAAGAGATTGTACTTCACTCTCTCCACAGAAGAGTATAATGACACTTCAATAGCATCTTAATGTTTTTGAAATTAGCACATAGAGTGTTTTGATTGTTTTTAATGTTACTCTGTTAACCTCTTCTTTTTCTTTTTATTTAAACTGACAAATAATGCTACATTTTTTTTATCTTAAAAATAACCTTCCTTTTTTAATTTTTGTTTTATCTGAGGCTCTATGGGTTCAAAGTATATTTGTATACCAATTAAAAAAGAGGAAAACATTTTTACATTTTAATGGTTGTAAATAAACTGTATGCCAGACATAGTCAGCACTATGTATGTGAACTCATAGTTAAAGCTTGTATCTTTCTTTCTGGAGGGAAAACTGCCAATGTTCTTTCCTATTAAAATTCATTGGGTATTTCATTTGGAGTAGTGCCAGTTGAATCAGTTCCACTTCCAGTTCTGGCAAAAGAATTATATACTATTTTAGGGATCTGTTCTTCTAGGTTTTCAGAGTCTTAGAAGATTTTTTTTGTTAATAAGGTAAGGAATTTAAATATGAATTGTGTTGTGTTTCTTACTTTTTTTTTAAAAAAGAAAATCAACTTTTTTCTGTATTCTTGATTGTTTCTTGGTTTCTCCTAAGCCATTTGTTGGTAATTCCTATATCACTTTTAGCCTTCAATTCATTTGTCACTGACATTAACCTATATTGAAATAATCAAGAGAGTAGTTATGCTTCAGATGCAGTTGAAGAAAAAATACATGTGGATATATGTAAATTATGTTTCTAAGAGAAGACATCATTAATTTTTCCTAAAGAAATAATGTACAAACATTTTAGGATAACAATTTTTGATATAATAGTTCTCAGATAAACATTACTTTGAAACTTGTTAAAAATACACACTTTTTGCTCCAACTCAGACAATCTCTTCAGACTAATCTCTTCTAAATAAATCAGAGCCTATGTGCGTGGTCTGGCAACATGTGTTTTACTAAATTCTTCAGATCATTGTGATGTACTCTAAAAATTAGAAACCATTTCTTTTTTTTTTTTTAAGGTTTATTTGATTTATTTATGCATACAAGAGCTGGTGTATAGACTATGGGGGGAGTTGGGGTGAGAGGATTCACCAGAGACAGAGTGGGAGCAGAATGGGTAGATCAGCAGAAACACTGCTGAGGTGAGCAGCAGGTAAGACAGGAGAGGTCTGCTGCACATGTAGGTCAGCTCCCTGGGCAGGGATCCATCTGGTGCTGCAGTAGCTGCCGGTAGCTTCAGTGCTAAAACCAACCCCTTGCACCACCAGGGAGAGCCCTGGAAACCATTTTGTTAGGGATTAAGAGCATGGATTTTAAAATCAGATATAACCTGAATTCAGATTCCAAATTATACTATTTAATATCTCTGAAATTTTGGGTAACTTTTCTAACTTCTCTGAACATTATTTTCCTCAGCTGTCATACTAAATTATCACCTCCCTCAATTGGATCAGGGTAAATGCAGTTACTTGTAAATTACCTAGTACAGAAACTTAAAATGGTTACAGTTACCTTACATTAAATATGTACTACAATTTAATGATTTGAAGACACAATTATCCTATATTATTAAATTATTGAAATTTTCATGTGACTTACAGTCAGATGACTAGAAAATAAATACTGTATTAGTTTAATTGGTAGATTTTTCTTGTCATGTGTAAAGTGAATGATGTATTTAATTGTAGTGGTGTATTTGATATTAATATTGAAGGAGTATGAGCACACTATAGTTTGAATTTGTTTTGACTGAATCGTTTTTGTATGGGACAGGTGTTGAATTGACCTTAAACATTCTAATAAGTGACTTTAGAAGTTGAATTTGGCTAATGGAATCAGAACTGAACATCTGATTGGGGGAGTGTAAAGAGAAATAATCTGAAGTAATACCATGTAAACTAAATGAAATTTACACCGATACAAGAAAAACCTATTTTTATAAGCTCTATATAAATTTTTATGCTCTCCTTAAAGCCATTGTCATCAAGCATTGGGTTGTTAAAAAATATCTGCACTATAATACTTTAACAATATGTTTGCTATATCTTTCCATCCAGTCCTATGAGTTGATATATCCAGAAGGAACATGCTTATCTATTTGGAAAAAGTGATGTATAGTAAAGGCTGATAACTACCACAAAGACACAAAAATGAAAAAAATGCTAATTTGAAAGAATTTTGTAAAGATAGATCAGAAATAAGTTATAAAATTTAATTATGGAAGAACTGACAGTAGCAAAGCTTAATGGGAAAGGCAGATGGCACAAGTTTTGGGCAACAATGAAACACAAAATAGAATGTTTCACTCACTTTTTCACTTCTAATTTTAGCTATTCAGTTTTACTGCTGTCCAGGCTTATCTGCCAAAATCAAATTAATTTTATTCACTTTTGTTAGAATACTTTTAAAACACTTTTTAAATGCTTCTTACTGTTACTTTCTAATGCACTATTTAAGAAAAGTGTACTTTAAAAGGTTGCATTTTTCTTGAATAACTATCCCTCCTTCTTTTTCTAATTTGTATCTCTCCCTTTCTCAGTGATACCTGAAACAGAAGTTAGGTAATTAACACTTTCATTTTATAACATGTGCTGGGGAATATTGGCTTAGTATTCTCCTGAAGTGGTAGCATATCCCAGCAAGTTATTCTCTTTCAAATTGTATACACCCAGTTTTAATTCCTTGATTGATTGCCTTAGGCAAACTTAACAAGTTCATTTTGTTTTGACTGCAGATTATTACTTCCCTGTTCACTTTACTGCCTGCTTTTATTGATGTTGTTCTGTGAGCATAAGATGAGTCTTGATTCTGTTAATCCTAATAGCATTTTTCTGACTTATCCTATATAAATCACTTTTAGATGCTTTTGTCAAATCAACAACAAAACTATGCCATAGAGCATTTGGATTTCATGAATTGTGTTTTTTACTTGCCCGATTGTATGTTCCAAGCGTTGGCTTATCTCTTAACACTAGGAGGTCTATGCCTGACCTAGGCTCTTTCTTTATTTCTTTTTTTTTTTTTAGAAACTTGTGGTGGAGAATGTTGATGTGCTCACACAAATGAGGACCAGCTTTGACAAACCAGACCAGATGGCTGCACTCTTTAAAAGATTATCATGTGGGTAACTTACATTACTTTCTAAATACTAAGAAGTATATAGCATTCAGTATTTAGCTTTTACTCAAAATTTGTAAGTATAAATACAGTTAGTAAGTTACTAAAAGTACTCTTTGGATTATAAAAAGAGCTAAAAAATCTTTGAGAAAGGTCTTTCAAGTATGTGATTTATCACAATTATTTTATGAGACCACTAAATCTAAATTAACTTACACTAAAGGATAATTAACTTTTGAGTCTGTTTTCTTTATAAAAATCAACTTTATTGGGCTATAATTTACATACAGTCAAGTGAACATATTTAAGTGAATAGTGTGATGGATTTTTACAATCTATATATTAATGTAGCCATTTCTATAATCAAGATACACAGTTCCATCACCCCCAGGAACGTCCCCCTTTGTAGTAATTTTCTTCCTCCAACTCTCATGATCTGACTTCTATCACCCAGGCAACCCCTAATCTGGTTTCTGTTATTATAGATTAAACTTGTCTGTTCTGTAAGTTCATATAGTCACACCTTATATATTCTATGAATGTTTTTGAGGTGAATCTTAAAAACATACTACGTAAGTAAAATGAGACACAAAAGAATACATGGTAAATAAATATAGTGTAAACATATATAGTGTAAATAGTAGGAAATTATTTTTTAGATTTATACCTGATCTCTTGTTCATTGTTTTACTGTATACTTACCTTTTCTAGTCTTTTCTCTTTTATAATTTTTGTTTCTTTTTATGATCTTAGTACTTTTTAATACTCATTTGACCACCCAATTTTTCTTAACTCCTACTTGCCTAATTAACCTTTTGATTATGTCATCTATTAGAAGCAGTTAATTCACTGTCATGTTCAGTGCCCACTTACTATTGCTTTAACTCCTCTTTGTGGAATTTTAACAAGATAGAATTTGTTAAAATTTCAAACAGAATTTACAGGTTTGTAAAACAAAATATGCAAACCTTTTTATAGATTCTGTTTACATTAATTTTGTGTATAATAGTGGTGATTAATGACTAATGGAATTGAAAAAATCAAGTTCTAAATTACTGATTTTTTTGATGACCCATATTTATATAATTTTTATTGAAATTGAATTTACTAAATCTTTTTTTATTATTTGGTAAACAATCTGTTCAAAGGAGGCTTATTTAGGGGAGCAGAGGAAACCACCTTTTTGCAAATTGAGTTGAACTATTTTGCAAAATACTGTTTTATTTCTGATCACTACCATTGTGATTCCTTCACCTCATATCCAGAAGTTTTACTTTAATAATTGTTTTATTTTCATAACTGATTATTTGAAATACTGACAAAAAGAAAATAATTTATTAGTATTTCTGAATTAGAAGAAATCTGAAATTTATTTTTAATTGTAGAACTTGCTGGGGGTTTTTGGTCTAAAAAATATAGCAATAGCAAATTTAATTAATATCTGTATTCCTTACTTTCTGTTTTCTGACACTGTTTTTAGGAGCTAGGTTCATAACTGGCTTCCTATTCCAGATCTTCATTTTCTAGTAATCAAAAATTCCTTTTTAAAATTTACCCTCTCAGGCCTGACCTTGCAACCATCTGCAAACCTAGAGATTGTATCCAAAGACTTCAAATTTGCAGTATTTCAGAAGTTATCATTTCATTACTCAACACCATGCTGGTCATATGACAACCCTCTCTGTTTCTATTAAGCTTTTTTGTTATAGGTCATTGATATCTCTAGTTTTCTAATCAGTTTCTTTATTTGTTTTCTGTATCTGACTTGTGCAGAGCAAAAGCCCTGCTACCCTTCTTCATTGGCCATTTTATACTAGTAACTCACATCAGAAAATTTGAGTTACTCACTGATTCTTCCGGTTACCACATTCCAATTAAATAGCTGTATCATGCAAGTGTTTGCATATTGGTGGGTCACATTTTTTTTTTTTTTAAGATTTTTTTTCATTTATGCATACAAGAGTTGTGGTGCAGGCCAGAGATTGGGGAGGGACAGTGAAAGGATTCACCAGAAACAGAGTGGGGAGTGGAACAGGCAGATCTACTGAAATACATCGTAGGAGGGAGCAGTGGGTGAGGCAGCAGAGATCTGCTGCATCATGTGGGTTACTTCCCTGGCTGGGTTCAAACTCATGCTGCAATGGCTGTGGATAGCTTCATAGTGCTGCAGCGTATCCCATTGTGCACCAGGGAGGCCCCTGGTCGGTCACACACATTTGAGCCAAAGACATTCTTTAGTGTTTATGGCACATTAAATTTTTTTTTAATGTTTACAAATTGGGAGTTATCACACAAAAGTCTAAACATTTGACTTTGCAATAAAAACCTGGTCAGTTATTTCCCACATGGCAGTACGTGGTTGACTCCAGTCTTTCCCTTTCATCATTTTATTTTTCACCTGGTCTACTTGACTATTTTGTTACCTTCTTTAGGTATTTGATGCATTGCTTTCTAGTCCCCTGGCTCTCATTATAGGCTTTATTTTATTTTGTGAATTATATTCATGGCTTCCTAACATATATCCATTCTTCCCTTTCTAACCCATCTCCCATATTGAGTAATATTTCTAAACATGCTTCTTTTTGTATAACCTTTTAGATTTTAAAAACCCTGAACAGCCCTCTCATTCCTTAAAGGGTGTCTGAATTCCTTAGCATGGTATCAGAAGCATTATTTGGATTAACCTCCTGCCAGCCATTTTTCCTCCCACTACCTTTTTGTATGTCCAGAAACTGGTCTAGTATTTGTTTCTTAGAATGTTTTTTAGCCTGTTTGGGCTTCTGTGATAAAAATACCAAACTGGATAGTTTATAAATAACAAATCTGTTTCTCACATTTGTGAATACTGGAAATTCAAGATTACAGTGCAGGCGTAGTTGTGGGGGGACCCTTTTTAGGAGTGCAGAGTTTTCATACATGATGAAGGAGATAGGTACCTCTCTAGTGTCTTCACTGAGCTCCACATTCTTGACTTGAACACCTCATCTGGTCTCTACCTTATAATGACAGCAACTTTGGGGATAGGATTTTAGCTTGTGAATTGAGTTTGAGATACAGATATTCAGTTCATGGCAGTTTGTTAATGGAAATTATGAGGGGTAGTGCCAGGGGTCACATAGATTTGTCAAATAAACCAGTAGACATTGAGTTAAATGAGATATCTTAGTGAAGTTTCTCAGAACTTGTATCATTACTGTACATTTATCTGGATCTTGCCAAAACTGCTTTTTATCCTAATAGTCATTTTTAATTTCTTGACTATCTAAGATATCAACAGCTTAAGAATTTGATATTTTCAAGTTCTAGAGCTATCTGGGAAATAACTCATAGCCACTTTGATCAGTTTCTTTTTTCTCCTTTAGTGTATTTCCTACTCTACCCTTCCTGAGATAAGATTATATAGGTGATTTCTTAATGACTGTTGCAGATTCTGGTGGACCATACAAACCATTTAAAAAAGTTATCACGCCATTTGAAGTATACTATTACTTACTTAAATTTAATATCAGCTGCCATTATCTTTTCCTCCTTAATCATTTGTTGTAGTCATATTGTCGTATTTCATCATGAGAGTGTTATAACTAAGAGTTTTATTTAAGATTAAAAAAGAATCCAGTTAACACTTAATTCTTCTCTTCCCTTTCAAATTTAGCTGTTGACAGTGTCTTGAAGAGGATGACCATAATTGGTGTAATTTTATCCTTCCGATCATTGGCACAAGAAGCACTTAGAGATGTAAGGCATTGTTATGTATCTGTCTGTCTATCTATCTATCTATCTATCTATCTATCTATCTATCTATCTATCTATCTATCTATCTATCTATATCCTATATTCAAATAAACCTTTTTAATTTACTATAATTTAAAAGCTATCCTTTAAATATATAGTTGTCATTGGTAAAATTAAATATCCTTTTTTCATAGCTACATGAAGTAAGCTATATATAAAGAAACCAAACCTGTTTAAACTCATTTTTGTTTGGTATTTGCCTGGATAGAGTGCTATTCTTTTAATTTTACTCATTACAGAATTTCTCATTTGGCATTGAAGACATTTCATTTTTATATATCTTGGTGCTTTAGAGAATCACATGGAACTAGATAAAATAACTTATGAAAACTAGTAGTAACTGAATATTTTCTACATTTGGCTCATTTAAAATAATGCTGTATTCTTATTTGTTGTCCTGTCTAGGTATTGTCCTACCACATTCCTTTTCTCGTGAGTTCAATTGAAGATTTTAAGGATCATATTCCAAGAGAAACTGATATGAAGGTAATTTAACTTCCATTTGAATTTTAGTTTCCAAAATGAAATCTTAAATTACATAATTTAAAAGTCCTGCCCTTTACTTTTTCCACCTTTTGAAATTCTACTTTTCAGGCTTGACTCAGTTGCAATCTTCTGAAAAACATACCCTGGTCTTCAAATGATAAAGAATTTCTTTTTTCTTAGTGTTGCCAAAGAACTTTTTAAAAACTCATTGCTAAACATTCTATGTTGTATTATAGTTGTGTTTTCCAGTTAAATTAATACTATATTATAAATATGTTGAAGACCAAGGTCTTGTTTTCTTTATCTTTGTTATTCACACATTTCTTCACACCGAATAAATATTTAAGATCAAAGGTTATCCTGTGATTTTATTCTTGAAAACTATGTTTGAAGAGTTAAAAATTACTTATAATGAGAACACTAGAAAAAAATTATGAAAACATTAAGAACACAACAGTCCCTAAGAAGACACTGGTATGCAGATTATTATCAGATTATCATTATTACCATCCAGTTTTCTTGTCACCTAATATAATTATATTGTGTTTACAGCTAACTTTCAACAGAACTTGATCTATTAAAATCAAGCATGTTTTTAATAATTGTATTGAACTATATTTCACCTATCATTAAATTTACCCAAAGTATACATTTACATGAATTTTAGTATTGTCACAGAGTTGTACAACCATCACCACAGTCAGTTTTACAATATTTTTATCACCCCAAAAGAAACCCTACACCCACTAGTAGTTCACTCCCTATGTCTGCTCAGTCCCCACCCTTAGGGAAGCAGTAATATACTTTCTATAGCTTTAGACTTGCCTATTCGTGGCACTTCCTATAAATCACGTTATATATAGCCTTTTCACTAGTTTCTTTGACTTTAACATGCTTTCAATGTTTAATCGTTTTATAGCATGTACAGTCATATGGTGCTTAACAGTTTTTCTGTTAACAGTAGACTACATAAACGAAAAGCATTCTCATAGGTTATATCATGTAGCGGGGGTGTGTACTATCCAGATTTGGGTGATTATCCTCTTTAATGTTTACACAAGGAAGAAGTTGCTTAATGATGCATTTTTCAGAATGTATCCCTGTCATTAAGCCACACATGATTGTATCAGTACTTCACTTTTTCATCACCAAGTAATACTCCATTGTATGCATATACTATATTTATCCTCTCATAAATTCATAGAAATTTAGAGTGTTTTACCCTCGCTTTTAGCTATTTTAAATAATGCTACTATGAATATCCATGTACAAATTTCTGTGTGGTCATTTCTTTCATTTCTGTTGGTTATATATTCAGGAGTAGAATTGTTGAGTCATGAAAACTTTATTTTGTGTTTTTTATTGTACTTTATATATTTTTAACTTTTAAGCCTGTGATACATTTTGAGTTAATTTTTCTGTGTGGATTTAGTAATGGATCACAAATGTTTATTTAGAACCTAATCTGTATCAATTCATTTGTTTTAAGAGTCAAAATTGTATAATTTAACTTCCTATCTTAGAGGTTATTTTGTATTATCAAAGATAAATAGTTATACAGTTAATTTTGAACTGAATTACTGAATAGTAATAGTAAATATCTTAAATACTTGAAATCCATGTTTTAACAAGAAATTAATCATTAGAAATTATTAGTACTCCTAAAAATCTTAATGTAATAAGTTATTTGCCGTATTTTGATATGATTAGACATTGAACCATGTTAAATTTTCATTTAAAAAGTATGGACAGATATATTAATTCTGATTCATTTTTGTTCATTTATTCATATTTTTACTTGATATTTCATGTCCATGCCTCTAAGAAAAAATAATAAATTTAGAATGATTCTTTTGGAATTTGCCAGAGAAAGCATACAAGTTTTGTTTAGCCTAACAGTTGGAAATACAGAGTGGTTATCTCTTTATTGTAGGTTAATTGTGCTGTGTAGTTCCTGCTTCTACATTTCTGAAATTATCAAATGTTTATAGACGAACACTAATTTAAACATTATGTCTTTTGTTTTCTTACTAAATGAGATTTTTTTTAAAATTGTTAGAGTATTTCTAATCTTTAACTTCTATTTCTTTTTGTTAGGTTGCAATGAATGTATATGAGTTATCATCAGCTGCAGGGTTACCTTGTGAGATTGATCCTGCATTGGTGGTAGCTCTGTCCTCACAAAAATCAGGTAAAATGCATTTGTAAATATTTGGTAATCTTAGTTAAAATGTTCAGGCAACACATATACTAGGTGTGATACTATCTACTTTTATATGCCTGCTTTATGTCAAGCTTTTTTCTCTGATATTTGATCTGTTAGTATAGAAGAGACAAAGATCTCTTCCAAAGATTATGTAATAGCAACGACATTAGATAATATTCAGTCACAAGACTAAATTGAGAGTTGTAAGGCCATCAAATGTGATGTAGAAGTGAAGGGGTTTGGAGTCTGAATCCTGGGACACTCCTACTTTTAGGAACTCAAGGAGAAATTGAGGTAATACCAAAACAATAATCTGAAAGAAAAGCCAAGGAGGAGTAGCTTTTAGGGATGTGGAAAGGGGATGATCAATTATGTGGAGTAAAATGGTTGATGCTGGCAAGAAAAGTGTCAGTAGATTTTAGCAGTGAAAAGTTAATTTGAGAGGGCTTAAGAGACTCTCCTAAAAGAAACTGGAGTAAGTATAAAACAGTTCTCTGAAAGAGATCATAAGATAGCAGTAGCTAGAGGCTGCAGTAAAATCAAGAGAACTGCATTTGCATATTGATGGAGATGATCCATTAGATAGCAAAATTAATATCTAAAAGAGGGTGTCTTTTTTTTTTTTTAAAGATTTATTTACTAGTGCATACAGAACTGGTGTACAGGCCCTACTTACCACAAATATCTGTGCATTACTAAATGATATTAAACACCTGAAAAGTTTTTAAGGTCAACTTTTTCAAAGGCAGTACCCAAAATGCTCTAAATAGTTACAGGTTTGTCTGCCAAGTAAATAATATTTCATCTTTTACTGGCATTAATCTGGCCTTCCTTGCCATGCATGTACTATGTATGGTATTTGGCTAAGTTTATCAGTTTTTGTGTATTTTTGTTTTATTTACTGCTTTTTGTTTTCTCAATCATACAGTATAGTATTATAGTCACATGCTATAGCTCTTTTCTTTATGATCAACCAAATTTTTGAAACATCTCGCCCTTTGTTTATGTTCAATTCTTAGTTATATATGGTGATAGAGTAACTAGAAGTACCCAGATACTAGATAATTGCCAAGATGGGTTATCCACAATTTGATTATGTATTATAATTAATTAATTTTAGAAAGGATCATGTCTTTAAAACTTTCGAGTGATTTTTTTTTTT